ATTGACTTATACTTATTTTTATTATTTTTGGATATATTTTATAGGTCATGACTTATTTGTTTTATATTGATGAACTTTTATTTGGTCTCAACCTAGATACGTAATCGCATTCTTGGTCTTGACGCTAAGAGGCATAACTGTCTTCTTCTCTCGAGTACCTCACACCTAATAATTACAATGTAAACCTCTTGATTTAAATTAATGAATGTTTAATTATTAAAATAATATATCCAAGGTGCGTAATCGCATCCTTGAAATTATCTTAATGTCTGAAAAAAGATCTGTAACCACATTCTTAAGTGAAACATATATATTTAACGTGCCAAAGTGTTCGATCTAAGGTTAAACATATATATTATTTCCTTATAAAGAAAAAACAAATAAAGTAAAATACTAAACTTCTAAACTAAATTTTAGACCATTTTCATGTCATTTTTATCTTTTACTATTCTTAAAGTTGATGCCAAAATTAAACATAACTTTCTAACTCAACAAAACAATACTGAATCGTAAAATAAATCTCATTTTTTTGATTGATATAATAAAATAATTTTTTTAATCTATTTAGTTATTTTAATATTATTTTTTTTACTATTCTTAAGGTTGACGTCAAAATTAAACATAAATTTTCTAATACAACAAAATAATACTGAATCATAAAAACAAATCTCATTTTTGATTGATAAAATATAATAAAATAATATAAATCTATTAACTTATTTTAGCCTAACAATTCTTACTTTATTATCATTGTCTAAATATAGAAAAGAACAATGTCATCACATTTTAATTTTAAGAGGTTACAACTAATGAATATAAATAAATAAATAGAAAATAATCATCAATTAATGCTACATTCATTAAATAAAAAAAGATATAACTCTTTAATCCCATAATCATTTCAATCAAATAATAAATAAAACAAAGTTATAATTAAACTAATCATAAAAATTACAACAAATTTCATAAATTAATTAACGATTTAAGGCAAAGTTATTCCTAAAAAAAAAGTTTCGCAAAAACTTGATCGAATGTCCATTAAAAACATCCACAAAATTTTGTAGATTGTATGGGGTGATATATGTATCGTATTGATATGAAAATAAAGAAAAGGTAGGAAAAGATATGAATGTGTTAGGCAAATTTTTGAAAGAAAATAAAATGAAAATGCTTTTTTTTTTTTAATTTCTCGTGCAGATTTTTTTTATGTTGCTCACCTATTTTATGTTTTCTTCTCCTTTTTCCATTCTATTTTGTATGTATTAGTATGTATATATAAATAGTAGTGTACTACTGTAGGTGATGTGGGGGAAGATGTGAGAAGTTGTGTGTAGTGGGTTGAGGGAAATGGACAGTAATGGAGTTAAGTAAGGTTGTTATTAATAATTAATATAAAAATTATAATAAGAAGAATATCATCTAATTATTAAAATAAAATTATAATTGAATAGCTAATATAAAATTATAATTAAGAAATATTAGTTTAAACCAAAATTAAAATATATTTTTTGGTTTCAAAATTTTAAAATAAACTTATTAAAATAAGACAAAACTAAAATATCTAAAAGAAATATTTAAGGAATAAAAAAATTATTGTAAAACCTTATCTTCAGCCAAAAATTACGTGTCTACAGTTTGTCCCTCTTTGACTTGAAATATGAAGTGTTTTCAGACAAAGAAGTAGACAAAACGACAAGTTTTGAACAGACTCTTATTTAAAAGAAAAATATGCGACCGAGTCCTTGTTTTGGACTGCCTACATATCTCGGGTTGTAAGGGAATCAGGTCACATGTAGTTCAAGGAGATGAGGTGATAAATTGAAAGTTAAGTGAGGTTCCATTGAGGCTCTAGATCGTGGATCGTATCCTTATTTACATAAAAATGAAAACTAATAGTCGAAAGGTAAATAAATATACAAGCTCCTATCTATGCAACTTTTTCTTGAGTCTTCACTTGAATCTTGACTTTAAGATATCATCTTGTTTTTTGGGTGAGTATCCTAACCTTGAATTGGATTGGAGATCGAACTTTCCACTTAGACTGAGCTTTTGACAGTATTCAAAATGACAATTAGAAGATACTCTTGAATGACTGCATGTTTTCTTGATCGAAAGCGGATTAGTAAAAGATGTGAAGAAGTCAGGTTGTTTCATGCATTAAAGAAGTTGAAACTGGCCATCATGGGATTTGTTATTCTAAAACATATTTGAAACTTTGTTCTTGAGTTTTAAATCATGTCTTGCTTAAGGAAACCTAAAAACCATCACCAATAAAAGAAATGAACAAATTTTTTGCCCTAGTTTTCATTGGGAAAAATTTCTAAGTTATATGCAAATGTGAATTAATATAAATAAATAAACTCAGACTAGGAAGTGTTTATTATACAAGATAATAACCAAATTCCATTATGTGGGAGGGTCATACTAATCTCATTATCCAGGAGGGTCCTTCTACTCCCATTATTATAGAAGTTCATTGCTATACTTTGTCCCATTATCCAGGAGAGTCCCGCTAATCACATTATGAGGAGGGTTCTGCTAGTCACATTATCTAGGAGGGTTCTGTTAATTTTATTATTTAGGAGGGTCTTCCTAGTCCAATTATTCTGGAGGGTCCTGCTAATCCCATTATCAAGGAGGGTCCTGCTAATCCCATTATTTAGGTGGGTCCTGCTAATCCCATTATTAGGAGGGTCCTGCTAGTCCCATTATCCAGAAGGATTCTGCTAATCCCATTATGAGGAGGGTACTTCTAATCCCGTTATCCAAGAGGGTCATGCTAATCTCATTATCTAGGAGGGTTCTGTTAGTCCCATTATCCAGGTGGATCCTGCTAATCCCATTATGAGGAGGGTCCTGCTAGTCTCATTATTCAAGAGGGTCCTGTTAATCCCATTATCCAGGTGGCTAATCCCATTATAATATGGTCCCGTGTCCCATTATCTAGGAGGGTCCTGCTAATCCCATTATGAGGAGACTCATTCTAATCTCATTATCCAGGAGGGTATATCTAATCCATAATCCATGAGGGTCTTGCTAGTCCCATTATCCAGGTGGGTCTTGCTAATCCAATTATTAGGAGGGTCCTGCTAGTCCCATTATCCAGGAGGGTCTGGTGGTCCTGTTAATCTCATTATCTGAATCAACATGCTTAATTGAGACGAGATAGATGAAAAGCCCTCAACAAACATTCTATATGAGCTAGCCAAACCCAAGAAACTCTTCATATTAGTTGGACATGTAGATTTAGGCCAACTTTTATCTTTTTTTATCATTTGGGTATCCACTCTTATTCCATCACCAGAAACTATTTGGCTTAAGAATGCAACACGCTCAATCAAAAAAACTCACACTTGGAGGACTTGACATACAACTCCTTATCTTTTAAGTGTGAAGGATTATTCTGAGGTGACTAGCATGATATTCTACATTGCTTAAATTGAATAATATGTCATCACTGAACACGATAACAAATATATCTAAAGAAGGCTTAAAGACTTTGTTCATATGATCTATGAACATAGCTGGTGCATTAGTCAAACCGAAGGATATGAAAAGAAAAACTGATGGCAGCCTGATCTGAGATCAAATTTTGTCTCATATATTGTTCTAAAATTTGTCTTTGGAGTATCACATTCACTAACTTTCTACTGATGCCAGGCTGATCTGAGATCAAATTTTGAGAATTAAGAAGCACCATGATGTTGGTCGAAAATATCATTTATCATTGGAAGAGGATACTTATTCTCGATGGTAACCTTATTCAATTTGTGGTAGTCTATACATATTCTAAGGGAACCATCCTTCTTTCTCACAAACTAGACCGGAGCACCCCAAAGTGAGTCACTTGATCGAATAAAACCCTAATCTAACAATTCTTTCAATTGTTCCTTCAACTCCTATAGCTCTACTGGTGTCATTCTATATGGCGGAATATAGATAGGAGGAGTATCTGGGATGCTGTCTCTGCCGAAGAATATTTCTCTCTTAGGAGGGACTCCAGGTCGGTCATTTTGAAAGACTTGTGAAATCTCTGTTACCATAGGAACTGATAGCAGGGAAGGTACATCAGCACTTGAGTTATCAACTCAGATTAAGTATTGAATACATCCTTTTAAAACTAGCTTACTCTCCTTAACGTACAAAATTAAATGACCTTTAGGCATAGATGAACTACGACTCCACTCTATCACTGGCTCATTAGAAATCTAAAACTTGACAACTCGAGTTCTACAATCTATTGATGCATAACATGAATGAAGCCAGTCTATAACTAGAATGACATCAAAATCTACAATGTCAAAATTTACTAGATCAGTGATGGTATTCTTGTGATTTATAAAAATTGGACAATCAGGATAGACTGTTTCCGCTAGAATATACTCTCCGACAGTGGTAGAAAAATAGAAAGGTTCACAATGTTTCTCAGGAAGAACCTCAAAGTAATTTGCAACATAAGGAGTTACAACAGATAAACGCGCCCCTGGGTCTAGCGAAGAATAAACATCAAAAGCAAAGACTTTGATCTTACCAATGACAACATCTGGATAGTTCTCTTGTTCTTGGAGGCTAGTGATTGCATAGAGGTGGTTTTCCCCTCCCCCAGTAAGAGAAGTTGCACCTCTATGTTCAACCTTGTCTGGTGGAGCAACTAATGAAGATTGAGCTCTCTTACTCTGATATCCAGTACCTTACCTGTTCTTAGGGCACTCCTTCATGAATTGACTCACTTGACTACACTTAAAGCAACATGTTTGGCTATCACGACATTACCTAGGTGGTAAATACCATACCGAGACATGCACGAGCCCAGATATCTTATGCGCCACACTTTCTTGAGACTTCATTGTCTAGATATGAAGTTTTGTGAATTCGGGGCATGATGCTCACCTTTATTTCTAGGTGCACGAGCACTAGACAATAATGGTGCAGGGCCCATTTGTTTCTTCAACTGTGACCGATTCGAAACCACCCTTCTGCTACCTAGACTTATTCCTAGTCTAAGCTTTCTTGATTTTATACTCTTCTCTGTCTCTCAGCTTCTCCTCTTCCAGTTTATACACATAAACCTTCATTTTGGAGACGTCCATATCACTGATCAATGTTTCAACTCTCCCCTCTTTGCTTGATGCACGACCCAAGCCTGCAACAAACAAGCTCATTATACTCCTTATGTCCTTAATTATTTCAGGAGCATAGAGGGATAGTTAGGTGAACTTTGATGCGTATTCATGCATACTCAATGATTCCTATTTCAGTGTAAGAAACTCCTGTACCTTAACTTCTTTCAATTCTCGAGGAATGAAATGCCCCAAGAAAGATTTTTCAAAGAAAGCCCAACTCCTTATGTGGTGCATTCTTATCTCTGCCCCCATTCCACTAATCGAACCAAATCTTAACCATATTATTCAGTTGGTATCCAAATAACTCGATTGTTTCAACATCAACAACATAAATCACATCAAAAGCTTTCTTCAACTCCTCTATAATGTTTTCTCGATCCTCAATAGTGTTCTCACGAGTGAAACTGGGAGGATTTATTCTCAAGAACTCAAAAATCCTCGAAATGTCAACCTTTTCTTGTTGAGATCCTCTTTCTTGACAAACCTAGTAAGTCACATCGTTACTCCACATCCTAATAACCTCATGGAACTCAGCGTTGGTAACATCCCCTTGAGGTTTAATTTCATATGCATTGGGTAACTCTTGTTCCTGAGGTTCAAGATTTCTACTATTTGGGTGACCTCGTGCTGCTCTTCATGCAGTCATGGTTATTTGAAATACGCGCAAGAAAGAATAGAGAGAGTCTTTTAGAGATAAACTCTAATGCACAAAATGAGTATGAAAGAAGCTAGGAATTCCTAAATATTGTAGACTCCGAATTAGAGATGTTGCGCGCTTCACACTAATGACTAGGACTGTACATATATGCCTTCATATACTCTCTAGGACACTTGAACTTTGTGCTATGATACCATATTTTTCATCCCCCGATACAACACTTTGGACGTGGCACCCAATGACAATTTCTTGATTTGAGCAAACCCTTGTCCTAGCTTACTTAACATAGCGGAATACTTACCTTAATAGTAAAAAAGAATTATTCTCACAAGGATAAATTTACAAAAATGTCTTGTCAAAAATTGTACTTAATTCTAAAAATAAAATATCTGAAATGCGAGATGAAGAGAAACTCAAAACTGATTATCTGATTGACTATCCGCCTATGAATCCTCTATAATACTGAGATGAATGTAGGGAAAACCCCCCAAATATTCTATAAGTAAAAACATGGAAAGAAATTAAAGAGTCCGCCAGAATGCAAGGAGGCTTACCAGTGACTCTACGTGCTCACACGATATGAAAAATGGCACTGGATGCTGATCCTAGATACCTGCGTCTGCATCATAAGAATACGAAGGTGAACTGGCATCTGTACATCGCATTTATATGTATGCGATTTGGAATGCTAAAAAAACTTAAGCTTGGAAAGAATAACAAGAAAACTTACACCTTTGGTCTTCTTAACTCGTAAAATATTGAACTTAATATAAAACAATAAAGACCCCTACAATATATATATATATATATATATATATATATATATATATATGTATATATATATAATCTTTGTAAAATGGAAAAATAACTTAGTTCATTAAAAAAATGCAATAAGAAACTCAACTTTACACATGTATGTAAGTAGTATAATTTTTTTGGGAGATTCTCTAACGGAAAACCATAACTGTGAGACTAAGCAATGGTACAACGCTTTACCTCACGTTGGAAGAGAACCATCCTATATCTGCCGTCAATATAGAACCTGAACTACGAAGTGGATTCACTAGTCTGTGCGAAAAAGCAATAAGGAATCATCTAAAAAGTATGATCCTTCTTATGTCCATGTTGGCTACATAGTTTATGGGGGCTTGAGTTAATATGAACTCGCGTCCCCATATCTCTTCTCAATACTACACCCAAAATAAATAGCTCATATTTTCTTAAAACAATTTCATCTCTGGTTTGACGTAATTTCTCAAACCTATCTTTAAAATCTCTCTTGGAAATGATAGTTTCCTTTTTACTAAACTTGCCAAACGCTATTGGAAGCCTAGCTTCCTTTCTTGCTCAAAATGCAAGTACATTTGTAATTCTTAGGGAATACTTAGTTCCCTTATAACTTTGAGAGATGAACTCAACTCTTTACTCTTTCCTTAGCTTGCAACTTGAGCCTTTAGACAAAGGTTAAAAGTTTGTTAAAGACTCTTGGAAACTTTAAGAACTTACTTTTAATTATTCTTAACTTTTAGACTTGACTCTCAATTTTCTTGACTTTGATCTTAACATTCCTTGAATTTTATTATGTATTCAATGTTTATGAGATAATGTTGATGGATGATTTAATGATTTTTAGATGTGCGACAGAGTATTAGAATCAACTAAGAAACATTGGTTTATCACTTAGGAACTAGTATAAAAAGATAAGGAATCAATGGGGTGTCTACGCATCCTTGGCGCAGTGAGAGGCGTGGAGCACCAGTCCCCAAACGTCATAGGACATGTTGGGGCGCTCTCGCTACCTTGACACATCATGGACCTATGTATAGATAACTTCGATGGTTCTTTCCCCAAACTCTTAGAATCAATAAACCATCAATACCCAATAGATCAACTCAAAAAACAACCCGGAAACGCGAACCAAATTAACTCTAGGCATGCAACAACTCAACCAATAAGAATTCAATAATGTTCTTCAAGAACTTGACTTGTCATCATTCAATCTACTCAAAATTGTCAAATTAGAAAATTTAGTCTATGGGAGAACTTAACCAACACAAAAGATCTTACATACCTTAATAGGTATCATCCCCAAAAAATTCCACTTGTAATTACTTGGCGTTCTTGGTGAAATGTTGATCTTTCTTTCTTTTCCTTCTTCTCTTTTCTCTTCTCCAAGCCCTAACCGTAGAATAATTTTTCTAATATGAAATAAACACTTATTTTTACCCCAGATGAATCCTTAAAACTAATTAGGAAATAGAAAGGTGAAAAAACTCGTTTGACCTTACTTAAATCCGTAATTTGACTCTCCTTAGTTGAACATTCCAACTTCCCAAAGGCATATCTTCCACATATAATATTGAAATCGTGTAAACTCGGCACTGTTGGAAATATATTTTCAAGGGATTTCCATGTCATGAACTACCCCTAACTCATTCTATGCTAGCATTATGG